CTATGTGCATGAGCATCTTGATGCCTACACTTCATAGGTGGTACAAGCTCAGGATTTGTGTTTCTGGTCTCAGTTTTGAGAGTTATCACTAGGTAAGTCTAGAGTTCAGTATCAGAAAGGGTTTCAGCATGGGTAAGCCAACAGGAAGAGCTCCCTTGTGTTGCTCTCACTGTTTCTGCTTTTTCTCGGCAGAAAACCAGAAAATAATAGAAATGTTTTGAGTTTTATAAGACTTCATAGAGTATGACCTATAGATGTGAGCACCGTCCCCTCCTTTGGTTAGTGTAGAGTATGACCTATAGATGTGAGCACCCTCCCATCCTTTGGTTAGTACTGTCATTTTAACCTCAAGCTGGAGCTGAGTTCATTACCAGACGTGAAGATCCATCACATCCGTTGAGTTTTCAGTGGAACAATATGAGTTGTGGTGACACAGTTACTGAAAATAGTGGCTACAAAGTCCTACTCTCTTCTTACAGAGCCTGTTATTAAGTCTGAGTCCTAAAAGGAGCACTTGAAAGGAAGGCTATGGGACCATATTGTTTCATGTTATTACAACTTATTAAGAATTAACTCCTTTATGGAAGGTGCAGTAATAACTTAAAGTACCTTCTAGCTTTAATCAGCTGTCAGAATCCACACAGCTGGAGTTAGGAATTAGCATATATTATATTACAGACTGGGCTTTGGTTATTCCTGTTTTCTGTTTAAAGCTGGATTGACCTTCAGAAAGTTCTGTTCAGCTGAGTTTTGCACGAGTGAATCCTCACAGTGTGGCATGAGAACTCTCAAGTTGTTGCAGTCAACAGCCTTTTCTCCCTGCAGAGTTTGGACCAACTCCTTCCCTTCAGTGCCCTGGCTGTAATCACCAGCAGTCAGCAGAGCTTGGGTGTTTCCTACACACAGTGTCATGTTACCCAAATGTTTATCTCAGAGGGAAAATACATATGTAGCAGGTTGTACCAAAAGTAAATAAATCACCCTCAAAGCAAAATAAGACCAGGAAAATCATTAAAGATATGAAAGAACAAAGGGAAAGCCTTACATGCTTTTAGAGGCAGAGAGTGTATTTCCTTTGTTTGATGAAAATACCACCGAGGCTGAGTTTTGGTTGGCTGTGGTGGTGTAAGAGCAGCAGGAAATGCAGAAGGCACCTTTGTCTTCCCACATTCATCAGCACCCTGGTCAGCCTGCTGAGAGCTTTGGCAATGTGTCATTGACGGGTCAACAGTCTAAGTAAATCACCAACCTGGGATTTTTAGGTGATTTCTGGTTGCTGCCTGAAATTCACCCTGTAAGGTAACTCTGTAAGATTCCCTTTCAACCAAAGATTTCGAGCTGTTGGTACAAACTTGCCTGAGTTGTGAGCAGCAGCCTGTTCATATAGTGGCCCCAGTGTTTCTGCTGGTGGCAGGTGCTCATGGGCTGCCCTGGTGGGTTCTCATTCTGCCCTGAGATTTCTGGTTTGTGACTGAGTGATGCTGGAATAGAACAGAGTGGAATAGTTCAGTTGGAAGTGATGTACAACCATCACCTCTTGCCTGACAATTCAGCGCTGACCAAAAGTTAAAACGTGGTTTCAAGGGCCTTGTTGCTAAATGAAATTGAAATCCCATTTGCTTTTACTTGGAGTGTGAATTCACAGTCATTACAAGAACATTTCCTTTTAATAACACTTTTAATTCTCTTGCTTTCACTGCTTTGATGTTGACATAGATTGTCCCAATGGGTGGAGAACAGAAATTGGCCAACCTGATGAATTTCAAGGTGTAGTTCATGCTCAAGGATACTTTTCCTGAAATTCCACTACTTGCACTTTAAGCACAGCCTTGTTATTTAGCTGATTGCTCCAGCATTTAACAAGTTCAAGGTAAACTCTCTGCTCCAACTGACTTTGAACACTTTCCTTTACCTTGGAGCTTGTGGGCAAGAAGTTGTACGTGGCCTAGAAGTTGCTCAGCATATTCAGAGATGGAGGATTTGGGAAGAAAAAATTTTTCTTGCCTGATGTGAAACCATACAAAGCAATGTAGTGTTCCTGTAGTAGCAAGTAGCACGTCTCATATTACTTTGTAGTTTGATGTACCACTTAGGAGAGCCTTGTGGTATGGAATTGGCAGTTTGCTTCGCAGATCTTACCCAGAGGTTGTGCAGATATTGAATAATACTTGAAAGTTTTGTTATATGAATCAAAACTAAAGAGTAAAGAAGTTTGTCCCTTAAATGGCCTTTCTTCTCTCCCAGCCCCTGAGCATGTGTTCTGGCAGGAGAGCCTGGACCATGCAGTCAGCTCTGTCTGCAGTGCATTCTGAGCCTCAGCCCAAGGAACTGCCTTCTCCTTGAAGGCCTAATCCATAGATTTGCTTAGAAACAGCCTAATATTCATGGTGTAGTCGTGTGATGAAGCAGATTAAAGGAGATGTCTTCCTTTCATGAGTGTCATTTCTCCAGTTTTCTCTGGCATTAAGAGGAGTCATTGGGGAGAGGGCAAATGGTTGCTCTGGGAGCATCAGCAAAACATTTCTGTGTGGGACTTGGCTCATACATTTTCCTAGAATGTTCCCTCAAATGACATGGTTTGTGGACTGTAATGCAGAGTTTTATCCCACCCCTGTTCTGAAATGCAATAATCAAGTCCCAAATTGGAGTGAACAATAGGGAGTTTTCTTGGGTTTTTTTTCATGTCAGAATGTCCAGCCCAGACAGCCAGGGAGCAGGTCCCAGCTCAGCCTTCCACGGAGCAGCAGGTGCCTCGTGCTGGGGGAGCAGTGTTTGCTCCCATCAGCTCTTTCTCCACCATCCACCAGGAGTGTGTGAGCTCAGAACCTTCTGTGGCCCCAGCTGGATCCTGCTGGCCACGCATGAACCTCCCTGTGCTCTGCCAGGCTTTGCCTCTGCTCTTTCTCCTGCCTCCCTTTATTGGTGTTTGCATGTTTTCGAATCGTTCTTGTCCTTTCTGTCTTCAAATCCTTTATTTTTCAGGAATAACTAAAGCTCTTCCTTCTATTGTTCATCTTCTCCCCCTTTGTGGTTAGGCCACTGTAGGAAGGGTCTCACGTGCAATTGGAGCTGTGGCTGAAGTTCTTGTGAATCTCTATGTGAATGATCACAGGCCCAAGCCACAGCTTGAACTGGTAAGACTGAACACACAAAGAAACAATAACTTCACTTACAACTGGTGTTTCCAGAATGCCATCCTGACTTCAGGCCCTGGTTGTGAGCACTTTAACCATTATGAGAGGTCTTAGTCTAACACTTGTTAAGGAATCAAGTGCATATTGGCAAAACTTGCTGATGTGAGAATGTGCTGGAAAAGTTGCTCACCATGTCTCCTCTTTATATTTTTATTACTTGGCTGTGTGATTTAAAACTTCAGGAGGCTTTTTATTAAGTGCAATTACTGCAGAATTAATAGCAGAAGACAAGTATTAATCAGGGTGGCTCCTGAAGAAAGTTTGGTGTGCAGTTATTTGTAAGAGGCGAGTGCTGAATCACCACACCTGGTTTCCAAGAGAGCTGTTTGACAAGGCTGACTGTTCTGTTGCATCCAGAAGCAGTTTGTGGACAGAGCTGCAGGTCCTTGCCCCGTTCCTCACTCTCCATCTGCTGCTCCCACTGCTCACAGCCGCCAGGTACTGGGAGCTGAAGTGAGGTGGTGTGTGCTGCTGCTGACACTTGAGCCAGCAAGAAACTCAGCTGCTTTTGCTTCCTTGTAACTCTCTGCTGTATTAACATGGTGTTTTTGAAATGCATTTGTGTGGTTTTCCACTTGCATGGTTGTTCCTTTGGGGAGTTTCATGCTCTGAAATGATCCATTGCAGCAAAATGGATTGCAGTGACAGATTTGGAATAGGATTCTCAGCTTTTAAGCACAGGACAATGTGGCCTTGACAATTGTGACTTGCACTTGACATGAAAAGCTGTCCCAAGGTCACCTCTGGCTGGCAAATTTGAGTTGTGTGGGCTGTGTGCTGCTGTCTGAATGTGCCTGGACCCTGCCAAGCCTGTGCCTCCTCTGCCCAAGGTGTGGTACCCATGCTGTGGCAGCAGGGATGGTGGAAGGAGAGGAGCTGGTGATGGATGTGGTAGATGCAGAGAGATCATCTGTGCTGACCTGTAACCAAGCAAAGTCACCTCCTCATACTGCCCCTAATAAGGAAAGGGAAGCTCAGTGGCATCTAATCCATTCACAATTTATTTTTCCTGTACCTTTTGTGTGTATATCCAAGAGAGGATGAGATTTGTGGCAATTAAAGAATGTTAGTTACCAGCCTAATTTCAGCAAGAGCTTACAAAATAATTTCAAGTTGTTAATGTGTCTCATATTTTAAAGTCTAATGAGTTAAAAATATTCTGAATGGCTGTGGTAGGAAGCAAACTGATTTGTAAAACAAACCAAGCCCCAGCTTGGGCTGCAGTCTCAGGAGGAGCAGAGCTGAGAGGGGACACACGTCTGTGGCAGTGTGAGTTGTGGTTCAGACAAGTGTTGAAGACTCTCAGCTTTTCTTCCTGGACCTAAAAGCACAAACCTGTGTTTTCCTCCAGAGTGTGTATGAACTCTGAATCTTCAGGGTGTCTGTTTCCTTGGCTTCAAATGTGTGTCTGCCCAAGGCTGGCAGGGTCTACCTTCATCTTCAGAAAACCCCAGTGCCCACAGCTGTGGGATGTGAGTCCCTGGGCCAGGGGAGAGCATTTGGGGCTGCTCTTGTCCGTGAGGAGTCACAAAATGTTGGTCAACTCCCAGAGGGAAACTGGGTGCAAGTCCAGCATAAAACTCACCCCTTAAAATCCTTGTGATGTCTGATTTGTGAATTGCTGCCAAACCTGCAGAACTGTGAGTAACACGAGTAACAAGCAAAGCTGCCTGATGCTCACTGGAACCGTGTGTGAAGAGTGCTGTGTGACACTTCCAGCAGCTCAAGCAGCTGCTTCCTTGGTGAGGATTCCTGCCTGGGTGCAGTGCCACGGCCTCACTGCCTTTCTGTTTGCACCTTGGCCAGGGCTCTCTGCGCAAGGAGTTCCCTCCATCCGTGGGGGGCAGTGACACCTGCCATTTCTGCGGGAGACGCGTGTACGTGATGGAGCGGCTGAGCGCCGAGGGACACTTCTTCCACAGGGAGTGCTTCAGGTGTGCCACCTGCTCCAGCACGCTGCGCCTCGGCCTCTACGCCTTCGACGGCGACGAGGGTAAGGCAGCAGCTCTGGGAGAGTGTTTTGACATCTCTGAGTCTTGATGCTTCCAACAGAACGAGGGAAACGTTCTGGCCCGGTAGCTTGGCTGGGAGTTGTAAGTGTGTTGTGTGTGTCTGTGCTGATCTGTAAGTCCTTATACTTGCAGTTCTGCTCTTTCAAAAGAATTGAGGTATGACAGAGCTGAGCTTTAAATGGAAAAGTCCTCAGTGGAAAAGAAGCTGAGTGGCCAAAATGCACTTTGTCCCATCACAGGTCAAAAGTAGGGGTGAGGAAAAGGATGAATTTTCTCCAACAATGCAGTTATTCTTATTTCTCTTTTATAACTGGCCCTTAAATAATGTGACCTACAAGGATAAGCTGTAATCGTGGCAGATTTACACGGATGGAGGGAATAGAGGTTATTTTTTGTGAGATGTTATCGTTCAGGACTTGAAAGCAGTGGGACTGGCCAAGCACAGTGTGATTTATTCCAGGCTGCTGTAGAACAGGATGTCCAGATCTTGAGCACTCAGTCCCACCTAGAGCCTGGGGTTTGGAGATGGGGAAGTTTTGTTGGGGTTTTTTTTCAAATTTAGAGTGGAACTATCAAACTGAATTGCAATTCCCTCATCATTTTCAAATGGTCTGAGTAGACCAGAGTGTTAAACTGTTCTGCTCCTGTGAAAGGATTTAAGACTCAAGGGCAAAGGTGGTTCTGTTTCAGCCAAGAGAATCTGCAGGTACTTCTTTTGAGCAGATCATTTGACTTTTTTTCTGCTTGATGTCTTGTGTTGGTTTGTGACTTTGCATTTACAGGATCTTGTTTTTCTACTGTTTGTTTATCTTGTACCTAAGTGATAAATAACAGATAAATGACCTTGTGTTGTTGAACTGATGTGCAAATCTGTGCTCTGTAAAGGAAACCCACTCAGAGCTGTGAGTTATTCACAGTTAGTGCCCAACCATTTGTTACCCTGATTTCAATTTTTTCATAGATGCAGCAGTGAGTTTTCAGTCCATATAGTTAACATACCATTTTATTTTATTTTCCCCTCTTGTAGGTAAATTTTACTGTAAACCTCATTTTACACACTGCAAAATGAGTGCAAAACACAGGAAGAGAAGAGCAACATTACAGATCCAAGGCAAGGTATGTGTTGGTTATGTGGGCAATGCAGGAGGTGTTGATGCAGCTTTACTTGGAGCAGGTGCAGCAGTTGTTTGTGTGTGGGGATGTTTTCTCCCTGATGTGCAGAAGTAGCAAAATCAGTGCTAAAATATAAAGCTCCTGGTTCTGTGAATTTGGCATGTTTATAATCTGGCTCTCAATGGAATTTAGTTTTCCTAAGCAAAGTTGAACTAAAGAGAAATTGGAAATGAAAATCTATTTCCTTTCTAGACACCGTCCCAGGTTGCCCAGGGAGGCTGTGGCTGCCCCAACCCTGGTGGTGTCAATCCAGGCTGGATGAGCCTTGAGCAACCTGCTCTGGTGGGAGGTGGCCCTGCCCAGGGCAGGGGTTGGGGCTGGGTGATCTGTAAGGTCCATTCCTTAAATTCTATGATTCTATTTGAAGACTTGAAGACAGTAGCAGAAACTGAGCTTACATACTCCAGAAGCATATCTAAACTTTTTTTTTTTTTTTTGCTGCTTTGTGTAAGGAGGCAACGGAAGCATGGAAGAAAGTGGAATCCAAAGGCCCAGAGACCAGCCCAGAAAGCACTCTGTGTGCTGCCAGCAGTCCAGAGGACAGGTCCCCAGGTATCCTGGCTTCCTTCTTGGGGGGCTCGCTGGGCTGGCCCCTGCGGGTGACGAGGGAGCTGCTTGACATTCCCAGCCGCCTGGCTAACTGGATGCATGGTGTTCTGCACGCTGCCAAGCTCCATTTCAGGGACAATGCCTATAACTATACCTACCTGTACGAACTGCTGAGCCTGGGTGTGCCCCTCCTCTGTGCTCTCCTGGAGGTACTCGCTCACATGTACCGGGAAGCAGAGCTGTCACTTGAAAATGTGCTTGAATGGGTGAAAAGATTCTGTAGGGTTTGAATTCTTCTATGTGTCTTGCTCAGTTGTGCCTTTCAGATTTTCAAAATTAACAGCCTGACTATTTTCTACAGGGGAGTTTTTGGTTTGGAGATTTTAATTTTTTTTTAAACTTTTCTTGCGATTTAATGCACGATGTCAATGAGTGGTGGATTCCTTCTGATACAGGCAAGGTACAATCAAAACTTTCAACATAAAATGTACTGTATGTTAGAGCATGAAGGACAGAGTCCAGACACATTTCCAGGCCACAGAGACAGATGAAGGATATTTTGTAGATGATTTTTTTCTTCCCTGTATTACTCTGTGATCAGACAATTGGGGAAGATGGTACATTTTGAGACCATTTTCCTCACTGCTTCCCCCTCCCCTTTTTTTGTTTCTTTTTTTGTTAAGTCAGACCAAGAAAGAATGTGTGTTCTTTCAGATGTTTGGGGACTAGTTTTGACAAGGGACTGGTTTTGAAACCTGAATATGGCACATAGCTCTTTTTTTCCCCTCATTTCATCTCTGCTCTGGGTTGTGAGGTTTATAACATGAATGGATATGTTTTCCAAAAATCATGTACATAGCTCACGTTGCTCCTAGTCATACCTCACACTGCTTACATGTCATACAGACCCTTTGTTGACAGTGGCTATTACCTCTTCTACTAACTTACTTAAAGTTTATAAATAAATTTGAGGAGCAAATAGTGGTTGAGTGAAGGCTTGATTGAAATTGCAAGTAGTGTCATTAGTCCTGACATCCCTTGAGTTGAGTCTTCCTCATGAGGTGCCTGTTTTGAGGAGTATTGATGTGTGGAGTACCCATGTGTGACTGAAGTCACTGCTGCTGGGCTCTGGGCAGGCACTGCTCCTTGTCTTTTGGAACAAACAGCAGAAACCCATAAATGTTTTCTAGGGAGATTACTTCTTAGCTGGGTATTTAATTCATTTCCATGTGTTCAGCTGATGGCAGAACGATGAAATTCCATCACCTGGAGCAGCCACTCAGTAAATTCCTTTCAGACACCTCTCCACAAGGTCTACCTTAATCAGTAGGTGCCTGGGCAGGTTAAATAATGTGTTTAACAGCCAAGGATGTGTTGGCATCCCAAACTGTGACTGCTTTCAGCCTGATTAGACAGAGAGGTGAGCACAGTCCCTGCCACGAAACATGGCAATATGTGGAGCCTAAACATAAAGTGTCCCTAGCATTTGTTTGTAACCAAAAGAATGTGGCATAAACCCTAGGAAATGCTGTTGCAGTCAGTCAGTGCTCGAGCTGGGGATCACCTTCCCAGGTGGGTTTATTTTGGTTCTGCTGTGACGTGGGGAGACATGATTTGAATTGTTTTGCTGCTTAGGTGTTAAAAGGAAATCTGTCTTCTGTTTAAAATAAATGACAACTGGATCTTTCCTCCAGATAGTTCAACTTTCTTTATGCTATGAGGGTAAAGCTTTTCACATTTTAGAGTGGTTATGTATTTTGGGGAAAAAATTGATCAATGTATGCAGACACAGCAGCAGTTCCAGGAACATGGGAGGCATCTGTACACCTGTGAAGAAATGTATCTGTACCTTTTGATAGCATTTAAAAAAACCCCAACACTTTGAATCACTGTATGATTTTAATTATTTGCTAATGACAGTCATTGTTTCAGCCTAAAAACCAGAAAATCTGCAGTGTGATTTACCATGTTGCTCCTGTGGCACAGCAAACTGCTGAGGGATAACATTTTAAAATTGGCTTGCTGTCGATTTTGATTCCAGTTTGTCCTGATTTCAGTTCTGTTCCTGAAGTTTTTGCCTGCTGTTTGCTACAGGAAATTTTCTGCTTTTTCAGCAGAGTGAGAATAGTAGCAAATTTAAAGAAAATGTGATACAATAAAAAAATTGGAAATCTCTGACCAATAAACTTGAAGTGAATGAATTACTTGCTAGTAGAAGTTTAAAAATAGGACTTCTTAAAAATTTGAAATGTGGTATTGGCTTTATATAGGTTTATATAATGGGGAATAAAATCCATACATTTCCACAACAGGATTCAGGAACTGTCCTAATGAAAATGTTTTCCTGAGGAATCTTGGTTACCCTGCATATTCCACTGGGATTTTGCAAGTGATTCTGTTGGGAGAGGTTTTTACTGGTAGATTTTTTTGATTTCTTCATCTGAATATTCTACCAGTAATATTCATCCCTATTTGTCCTGATTCATAATTCAATGGCAAAAAGGCAGTTTCATTTCGGCCAATTCTTCTTTGTGCCTATGTAATGTTTCTGATGCTTTCCTGTATAACCAAGTTAAGCTCTTTGTTTTCTTCCCTGGTGTGTCTCTGTCAATCTCCCTCCCTGCTGTTAGTGCAGCTCAGCATTCCGGTCCTGCACCCGCTCACTGGCTGAAGCCTTTCTGCTCTCAGGTGATTTTTTTTCTGCTTGCCAGTTCCAAAGTTGTGTGACTAACACTGTCATTTGACAGCATTTCATTGTGTGTTTGGGTTTGGTTTTGAAACTTTTGGAGCAAACTCTGTGTGTGTCTGGTATATTAACAGAGCTTTGGCATGATCATTTAACCTGCTGCTGAGTTAATGGTCTGGAAAAGGTAATACCTGTGCTCCTCTTCACAGGGAGAGCTCTGTGTGCATGGGAAGCTCCCTGTGCCTTCATGGTAACTTAGGCGAGTAAACTGTTCCTGGAAAGGACTAGTTAGAGCCTTATTTCTTTCAAAGAATTGAAGGAAAGGTTTAATTTAGCTCAGGATGTGATTGCTCAGCTGATTGTCCTGGTTGGCATGAGCAGCTATTTTCATTGAGCTCCAACAGGAATGAGCAAGCAGTGTCTGAGCACTCCTCTGCTTTCCTACTGGAAAATGGAAGAATAAAGATATAAAATAAAGAGATTCTGTAGAAAAAGTAGCCAAAGTGATGCAAACTCCAGCCTTCCGTGCCAAGTGACACTGGAGGCAGAGCTAACAGCAGGAAATGTGCATGTGGTTCTCAGGCTGAAATACCAACAGGCTGAGTTTATATAACCAGAGTGTTTTGGTTTGAATGTTTTATTAACTGACTAACTAGGCCCTGTTTGGCACTCTGATGAATGGATTTGTCTTGCTGCATGAGGCATTGCCAGTATTCTTCATTGCAAACTTCTGTGATTATTTTTATGTACTTTTTACATAAGTTACAGCCTGTGTAACCACAAGTTGACAAGCTAGAGGAGGGAAATGAATTCAGCTCAGGCTGATCAGCAAGGGCACTGGGGGTCTGGCTGGTGTGGTCCTGGCCCAGCTGTCCCTGCTGGGCTTCCCTTTCCAAGGGGAGAGCCCTTGGCATTGGTCTTAGGAGCAGTTTTCAGGAGGGGCTGAGCATTCTCTGCCCCGTGCCCCATCTCACAGCCTCAGCAGGAGCATGGTAGGGCCTCGGGGTCAGAGCCCCACAGCTCTTCTCTTGCTGAGCTGTGTGTTTGCATGACTCAACCAACAGTGTTTGTTTGGCTGGGCACCCTCCAGTGTCCTGCTGGCTTTGGGAGTCCTGACGCTGTGCCCACGCAGAGAACTGTCTGTGTTTGCAGCATCACTTCTGGCCCAGAGGGCTGAGCTGGGACTGCCTGTGTGTCTCTGTGTGCTGCAGCAGAGCTGGCCATGCCCCAGTGTGGAGCTCCTGCCATGGTCTGTCATTTCAAACCACTTCCATTGCTGCGTTTTGTACTCTCTGTTGCAGAGTCTTCCTCGCTCCTCCCGCCCAGTAAGGATTCTGTCCTTCTCCTCCTCCATCTCCTGTCTTCATTTCACTTTATAATCTGAACTGAATATTTTTATTCCATAGTTCTTATCTCTGTATTTAAATTTTCACATGGAAATTTGTATTTTGCACATGGTGAAAATTGTTTTAGCTTTATTTATGATATCTGCTGTAAACAAAAATAAATGTAGTTCTTTATAAGTCTCCTTGTTTCATCTCTTCCTTTTGTAAACATTTCCTGAGCACAGAGACTGGATAATGACCTCACTCTGGTTTTGCAAATTCCTCTTCTGGTGGATGCTGTGGTGTTCTCCTTCCTGGGCCTGAGCCAAGGGCCAGAGTTTCACTGTGGTGGGATCATTGCATGTGTGTCCCTTTTGAAAGGGATCTACGTCAAGGTCCTTGACAAGTTATGCCATTGCTGCAGATCCAAGGTGCCTGGTGCTGGGATTTACCCTTCCTGGGAATCAGGAGCTGGTGTTGGGGAGCATGGGGGTGGCTTGTATTGCATACACAGGTGTCACTTGTCCTCTTCTCTTTGACTCCTGTTACCTTTCCTTATGTTGCTGTTTTGCATCTTGACATATGCCATAAAGGTAATAATGTGTTTGGGATTTTATGTTCAGGAAAGGAGGTCATAACTGTGGATAAAGCTTTGCCTTTGCTCCTCCCTCTGTTGTGCTATGTGCAAGTTCTCTGTATCTTCTGGACCTCTGGGAGCTGCAGCTCGTGGTGACCTATTACCTGTCAACAGTGACTTGGTTTGTTTATCTGTTTATCCATTGCTTACTCTGCCATGGCTGTTTTTTATTTTAGTTTGTGTATTTAGAGCTGGTGATGTGGTTCTCTTTAGACAGCAGGTTCTCCCAAAGAGCTTTCCTAAGTCTTCCTTCCCTTCATTTTCTTGCTTACTCTGCAGTTCTTAAACTATCATCTCTTCCTTTCTATTTCAAGGAAAAAGACTCATCCCAATAATTTACTGGAGGAATTGTGTGATTTTATTTTTTTAATTAATTCAAACTCAGCCTCTGAGGTTGTTTGAATGACAGAAATGATTTTTTTTTAATTGTTGCTAAACACAACATTGCCAAGGGACAACAAATGTGGCTCTCAGTGAACTATTCCAGCTTCCCTGCCAAAGCAAAAGCCACTACCCACAGCAGAGTTTGCTGTCCAAGGGGGAGATGTTTGCATAGTGAAAACACAGGGCAACAAATACCAGCGAAGACAATACTTGGCACTTCCTTAATTGCAATGGACAAAGCAATTCT